GACGTGGACTTATAAAAGTGGTGAAGTAGCTTAGCTCTATCTCATTAGCTCTCATCTGTTCTGTTTAAAGCTCATTGGTGCTGGCTCTGAGATTTTTCGAAACTCTCCGTTTTCGAAATCTGAAGCTTAGAATCCCATTCAACCACAAGGAACTAGAATAATTGGAAAAAAAAATGTTTTGGCGTCCAAAAAGAAGCATGTGCAATCCTCTAATTTTATTAATATAAAAGAAGTGATGCAAATCCAGTAAAGATGTAAATAAGAGCTATTAGTGGGGAAAAAATAGTTGTGTTTGTACCATACTTAGGGCCTCCATATTTAGATCTCGTATAAATACTCGGGAGATTCAAATGTAATTATGTAATAAAGGAAGGGGCAAATATGTAATAAATGAGGAGCCCTTATTCTATAAAATGACCTCTCACTCTCCTCATTAAGGAGGCCAATTCCTAGGCCATGAGAAGCCTCCTCACATCCCCTAAGCTCTAAGCTCTCTCAAAGCTCTCACTCTCATATTCAGAGCTCTCTCTCCCTCAGAAATACAATATCAGTGTGGACGTAGCCTAAACCTTGGGGTGAACCACGATACATCTTGTGTTATTTACTTTCTTGCAGATTCACGGTCAGATTTACGTTGTTCCAAGACCCTTCCGGTTTTGTGCATCAACATTTGGCGCCGTCTGTGGGAAACGACACGAAAAACTATGTCGGTTCTCTTTCATTTTTTCACCTTCACCATGAATCTGCATAATCTGCAAAATCTACAAAAACCCATGAACCCAAAGCTTTCCTAAAAAAACCCAGAAACAGAAAAAAATTCAATCTTTCTTCTCTCTCTTTGCATTTCACTCTCAAATCTCCATTTCTGAGTTTCGAAAATGCAGATGCTTTCCCGACATTGGGTACCTTTCTCCAACTGCTCTCAGGTTACAGCCGTTGATCCGCGACCCGAAAACCGGCGGAGCCCCACCATTCTCCGAATTCTCATTCGCCGGCCGATCGAACCGCAACTCGAGCTCACTGACTCGGTCACTCAGGCTCTGCAGGAACAACTCACCCCCGAGCCTCTCGACTCACTGAATCATCCCGTACGAAAGAAGCGACGGTGTTTTGATTGGGGTCGGACTCAACAGCTCCGCATCTTCTTCATTCCAACTCTCTCAACGTCTCACTTATAATCCAGTCTCCAGCAAGCTAGCAAGCCCCATAGTCGACCCACTACTCGAAACACCGTCGTTCTGTAGCGAAACAGCACCCAGCGTTCAAATCGACAATGATGGTTGATCGTTTGTTCGAGGACATATTTCAGATTCTGCGATTGAACCCAGATGGCGAAAAGTTCGATAAAGTTACTCGAGTAGAAGCAAAGAGTGAGACTTGCGAGATGTTCATGCACCTGGATGTGAATTCAGAGGTTTATCTGATGAGGGAAGGGCAATCGCAAGACATTGGCTGACGAATATGAGTATGTCATGCAATGGAAGCTTTTTAAGATTTCAGAGGGTTCTAAACGTGATCCAAAAGCCAGTGCCAGCACAACATCACCATCGTCGATTGCCAGCCCTCTGGCCCCTCCGGCGGCATGCTCGCCTTCGTTAACGGCAATCTCCAGCTCACCAACGAACAACACGCTCTCAAGTCCAGCCAGATAGAGACAGAGACTGAATGAGAATGGTGCAGTGGAAAGAGAGGATCGAAGGTGGTAAGCTACACGTGAGGGAAGTGAGCATGCATGTGGAGGCCAACGAGGATAATCATGGGGGAACACATGGGGGACAATGCAAAAGAGAAAGAGAAAGAAAAAGAAAAGGGAGACCACCAGTAAAGCTACAGAAAAAAAAAAGTAGAAAAGAGAAAGTAAAAGCAAAAGAAAGCAGAAAAGGAAAAGCCGAAAAGAAGATGCTCCACTATTCCACTATCCCACATGATAACATGATTAAAGATAAGAAGATGCCTACCAAGGTTCCCCGTCTCCACTTTCTGTTGGACCAGAATATGCCCATCAACATGCTGAAAACATGTAATTTATTTTTCTTATCTTTCGGAGACATCTATATAAACCCCATCAGAGGGTAATAATAATAATAAAAAAAAATAGCAAAGCCCAAAATAAATGGGCTGGAATGTTGTGTGGAGGGCGAAGGTCCATAAGCTCAAAATAGCACCAACCAGGTGACCAAAAGTACGCCCAGTACTACAAAAAATTATTTGGCACCCTGCCGCTATTATCGCCAACCAGGTGATCAAAAATACGCCCAGTACTTCAAAATTTATTCGGCACCCTGCCGCTATTATAACCAACCAGGTAATTAAAAGTACGCCCAATACTTCCAAATTTATTCGGCACTCTGCCGCTATTATCACCAACCAGGTGATTAAAAGTACGCTCAGTACTCCAAAATTATACATGAGCATCACTCATGTCATTCATACATAAACATTCATGAGCATCACTCATGACAATCATACATAAACATTCATCACCATGATTCATGTCAACATTCATGAGCATCATTCATGTCAACATTCATGAGCATCACTCATGTCAACATCTATGAGCATTACTCATGTCAATCAACATAAACATTCATGAGCATCACTCATGTCAATCTAGCTTCAAAAGCTTCATTTACATAGCTCTAGCTTCAAAAGCTTCATTTACAGAGCTCTAGCTTCAAAGCTTCACTTCAAAGCTTCACCTAAAAAGCTTCAGTGCAGGGTATACAAATACCGCATTCGAACAACCGCCACTTCGACCTATACATGGATTCGATTTGAAGTCTCCAGCCAACATACTCTATTGATCGAAGACTTGGGGGACTACATTATGTACCATACATTGGGCCTCAATTGGGTCTCATGAAAAATACTTGGGGAACTCTAGCCCATTATGTATTGAGGAGCGATCCCTTATTTTATAAAAATGACTCCCTCACTTTCATTAGAGAGCGCCTATTATTCATGTACTGAGGAGCGAGCCCTTATTTTATAAAAGGGACTCCCTCACCTTCATTAGAAGAGCATCGTCGCCAGCTGAGCAACCGCCTCGTCGCGAGCATCACTCTTAACCCATCACTTATGTATTGAGGAGCGAGCCCTTATTCTATAAAAGTGACTTCCTCACTATCATTAGAGAGTATCGCCGCCTGCTGAGCAACCGTCTCGCCGCGAGCACCAACTCTAACCCATCATTTTTTTTATTGAAGAGTGAGCCCTTATTCTATAAAAGGGACTCCCTTACCTTCGACACCACAAGCCAAACCAACCAAGGCAACATAAGCCACAAGCCGAGCAGCCTCGCAACATGTGCTACTTCTAGTTGAGCATTATTTCAAATTGAGCACCGCCTCATATCGAGTATCAGTCCTAGATGACATCTAGTTACTTCGGCTCATACATGGACTGAGTTTCAAGTCTCCAGCCAAAAGACTCTCTTGACTGAAGACTTGGGGGACTACTGTTTGTACCATACTTAGGGCTTCCGTATTTAGATATCGTATAAATACTCGAGAGACTCAAATGTAATTATGTAATAAAGGAATGGGCAAATCTGTAATAAGCGATGAGCCATTATTCTATAAAAGAACCCTTCACTCTCCTCATTAAGGAGGCCAATTCCTAGGCCATGAGAAGCCTCCTCACATCCCCTAAGCTCTAAGCTCTCTCAAAGCTCTCATTCTCATATTCAGAGCTCTCTCCCCCTCAGAAATACAATATTAGTGTGGACGTAGCCCAAACCTTAGGGTGAACCACAATACATCTTGTGTTATTTACTTTCTTGCAGATTCACGGTCGGATTTACGTTGTTCCAAGACCTCTCCAGTTTTGTGCATCAACAAGTAGTATAATTCCAGGCCTTGAAGAAGGCTACAAAGTATATGGGAATAACGTATCTATGTAGTGTTTATGTTTGTTCATTTCTCCCTTGCGGTTTTTTATGCCTGTTAATGCTTGAACAATGATGCAAGTCAATCAAGCAGATAAGATTCAGAAAGAAAACTCCACATCTGTTGCCAGCAATGCTCATGGGGAGAAGTATAGGAAACCAAAGCCTACAAATCTGAAGCCTTTTAGGTTTAGAATTGATGTATGTGAAACCTGTTGTGACCAATTTCTTTAATAAGTATTAGTAGCGTTGATGCTTAATATGATATGTTTTGGCTTTTTTTTTTTTAGGAAAGAGGGATGTTGAAGGAAGCAACTTTGGAGAAAAAAACTCATGCACCACTGAAGGAGATCACATTAGTCAGGACTCCAGGGGCAAAGTAAACAAGCAAACATCAGAATGTTATACAGGTATACTTAGGAGCTACAAGTGCTTTGTGTGTGGTTTGAATCTGAACAATTACATTGTGTATCATCGTCATATAGGCAAATTTGTTATGTGTGATGGTGTATTTACGCATGACTGAAATGGATGATCTAATTTTATGCAATTTATAATTTTGGGTTTCTCTAATTTTTTTTTTTTTTTTTGTGATTTATTTGATGAAAGTTTCAATCTTCAGGTACATTTTTCATATATGTACTCATCAAATGTCACGATTACTGTTCCTTTGGTTTTTTGGGCTACAAATTAAATTTTGGGGTTGTTCAAATTTGTTTAATTTGGTCCAAGATTAATCGATTTGATGTTCTAGGTTCTTTGCAGGCAAAACATTGGAGCAGTTGGTCATATTTGGAAGAGCAAACGAGGATGGAGTTCTTGGTGTTGCATGAAGTTGATGTGTATCAGATGGACATCCATCATGTCTTCAATGGAAGAAATTTGATGTCACCATCTTCAGCTTTCCTCATGCAAACCATTACTCTTAGCTAAGTGAAAAATACTCGGACCTTATTGAGTAAGTCACTATTCATTTCATTTAAATGCTGATTATGATAGTATGTGTAAATTGTAAATATATTGTACATAAAATTTTCAATTCCGCAGCAATGCGCGGGCACCATTGCTAATATATACTAAAAGAGAAAAATGTGGTACTGTAGAAGTAACAGTGTTATTCCATTTCTACCCTTCAATTGCTATGTAAATTTAGCTTTTTGTGTGTATTATAGAGTAAAATGACATTTTTGTCCATGCTGGGCAATAGAAATCTCTCCATTTCTTCAGACCCCGCACTCAGCTTTCGCCATCTCTCTTCCATCTCTGCTTCGCGCTCTTCAATCTTTTTGCTTTGTCATCTCTTCCTCCGTGATTTCTTCACCAGCAACTTTGCTCAAGATCTTTCCAATTGAAAAAACCCAGATCATCATCATCTATTCCTCATCACCACAGGTACCTTCTACACCTATTACATGTCAAAATCTGCTTCGTGTTCTCTTCATGTTTTAGTTCCTTTTCACTGCTTTTGGTTGATTTTTATTCCCATTTCTTTTCGATCTCTTCTTTCGTAGCCGTCTGCTCTCTCTTCTTTCTTCGCCTCTGTTGGTCTCAAAGTGGATAGTTTTGCGATGAGTTGTTCTAATCTTGCATCTACAACTTTTTTATGCAACTGTATGGATTGTGTTCTGTTCAATTTTAGATGTTAGAAGCTTTTAATTTTTTAGGTTCAATTTTAAATGGGTTGTTGCTTTCGGAGTTTTCGTTTGATGACAGAGATGGGGTTTTTTGGGGAGAAACTTTTAATATTTTCCCCCCTTTTAAGCAGCAGACTTCAAATCTTTGTCCATTCCCATTTTATCGAAAAAACAGTTCATAAAGTTTCAATTTTTATCAGAGAAAAGAGAGAGAGATGAGAGAAATCATAAGCATTCATATTGAGCATGCTGGAATTCATGTGGGCAATTCATGCTGGGAGCTCTACTGCCTCGAGCATGGAATTCAACCTGATGGGCAGGTGCCCATGTAGGTTTTTGTATATCTCCATCGATATTTCTATTTATATATGCACTTTTTTTGGGTTTTTTATTTATTTTGGTGGGTGTGTTTCTCAAATGGTAGTGCCTTCGTCCATGAGCGGTAGGTCTCGGGTTTGAGACTTGGGAGCAGCCTCTCCATAAATGGGGGTAAGGCTAGCCGACATTCACCTCTCCCAGACCCTGCGTAAAGCGGGAGTTTTGTGCACTGGGTACGACCTTTTAGTCGATGGTGAAACTAAAAGTTACCATAAAAGAAATAGCATTGATTTTGCTTGAATCTGACTGATCGGATGCATTTGCTTTCTTTGCAAGGTTGTTGAAATTGATACGTCCCAAGTCTGGTGAGATTAGAGATAGTATCAAGGAACTGAATATGATGTAACAACACATCCATTGCAGGTCACTGAAGCTGATATTGAACATTGCCGATTCATCAGAACCTATATTCTTCTGCGTTTCCTCAAAATCCAAGGTACGGACTTCACCAAGCCGTAAGTTATTGGGATTTTTTTATTTTGGTTTTGGATTAGTAATTTTTTGCTCGGTAGCTGAGAAAATGTTATCCCGTGTTTTAGGTCTTGTGTTTTTGTGATTTTGGGTTCGTAGGTTTTTCAGATTTTGGGAGTTTGTTTGTAGGCTGCAAAATCCTCTGTTCTCAAGGTAAGTAATTTAAAATTCTGGGATTATTCAATTGAAAGTTTCAATTTATAGTTTAGTTTAGTTTAGTTATTTTATAATTATACAATAATTTTAAGTCTCAAGGTGAGTAAAGTCATATCAAATTCAGAGCAGAAAACAACAAATGTAAAACAAAAACAGAAATTATGCAATAAATCCATCTAAAATTCAGCAAAACGAAGTTCAAGAAACAAACTTTTCATCTTAATATGTTGAAAAGGAAGAGAATTGCACCTCCCGAGAACACAAACAAACAAACTCTGCAGTAAAGAAACCGGCAGCCAAGTTTGAGTCTTTAACTGATGCTATAGAACCCACCAAACAGAAAAACTAACAAATGGAAGGGGGGAGAGAGAGAGAGAAAGAGAGCCAAAGTTTGAGTCTTTAACTGATGCTGCAAAACCCACCAAGCAGAAAAGCTCACAAATGGAAGGAGAGAGAGAGGGAGAGAGACAAAGTTCAAATGAATAGTGAAATGAGGTACATTTTCCTAGTGAGATAAGTAAAAGTATTAATTAACGTATTTATATTTTATTAGTAAGATAAGTAAACTAAGAATTGTATATATACTAATAGTTCTGTCTATTTTTTTCCCCTCTTATGTTTTGCCTACTCATATTCATCAATATGTTATTCTCTCTTCCAAGGTTCATGCATATTTCTTCTTTTTTTTCATCAGTTACTTTTTTTTAGATACATTTTATTCTCTGTTTTGTGACTACGGGACAGAGGTTCAGGGCCGAAGGGGTAGAGGAAGACCTAGGAAAACTTTGGAAGAGACCCTAAGAAAAGACTTGAGTACTTGGATCTAACGGAGGACATGACACAAAACCGAGCGCAATGGCGTTCTAGGATTCATATAGCCGACCCCACTTAGTGGGAAAAGGCTTTGTTGTTGTTGTTGTTGTTGTTGTACATTTTATTCTCTGTTTTAAATTATTGTATTCAAGGTTCACTTTGTTATATTGACTCTGAAATTCGAACACAAGTTTCTAAAATATAATATTCTTTTGAACTTTCCATATTTCTGAGTATGCACCGCATTGATTAAGGTTTTTTAAATTCAAGGCCACGATGTTTGCATGCCCACAATCATGTGAATTGAGGCTGAAACTGATATAAAGTTTGATAAGAGCATTTCAACCATTTAAATTAGTTTTCTAATCACATTAGTTACTTTGTCAAAAGAAAAGAAAAAAGAGCATCTCTTTCATCAATCATACTTGACATGCATCTTAGTGTACATACAGTTCTCAGTTTTCTGTCTTCCTTTATTCTTTTAATTTTTGTGTGTGTATGTATTTAACTATGCATACACACAGATCTTGGATAAAGCAAAGTTCTAGATGTTTTTTAATTCTAATAAACTGATTAGAAGAATAAACGTTCAACTTGACTAAGTCTGTTGATATTATCGTATTAGTGGGAATTATATGGTTGGAAATATTGTGTATATTTTTATGCATAGGCTTGATAAAATAAATCCCGCACTTTTTGCTGCGATCAATTTTTCGTTTTTTGATTTGGTGAATTCTTGCATTGTTTTCCAATGAAGAGGATTCGAGCATTAATATTGTCAGTAATGGTGAGACTACTGGTTTTCCAGTCACCCCACATAATGAGCAGCTGAGTTGTGCATCTCCAAGCAAGAAAAGGCTGGATGCTATTAGTGATTCTGCCAAAGAATCAAAACAAAGTGGTAGGTATTTACATTTCCATGTATAGGATTTTGTGGATTTTATGAAATATATTGTTTGTTCTTCTCTGAGCGTTGAGTTTTATATATCAACCTCCTTACTTTTATTTTTCTTCAACATTCATGTGCATCATTTAGAGGTCGCACTTGGTGTGATGGCAAGTGCCTTCGCCCATGAGCGGTAGGTCTCGGGTTTGAGACTTGGGAGCAGCCTCTCCATAAATGGGGGTAAGGCTAGCCGACATTCACCTCTCCCAGACCCTGCATAAAGCGGGAGCCTTGTGCACTGGGTACGACCTTTATTCATGTGCATCATTTGACTATTTGGACTTTGGACTAAATTGTTGAAGCTGATTTTGTCATGGATACCATGTGCAGTTTTTATTATGGATACTCACACATTCGAGATGTATACCAGCTCATTGAACAAGAGGACATCTAGCAGTCCAAAGAAGCTCTCTCGGTGCAGCATACACTTTCCTCAATCAAATTTTGACAAGGAGGATCCAGTGAACAATGGAATTGGTGATGATCCAAAGAGTTAAACTGGTTTAATTCTACTGAAAATTGTGTGTTGATGATTGCTTCAGTCAAATTCGATATTTTCGGTAGACTAGAGATGGCTGCTAGAAAATGTATGACTGTTCTCTAATCTAAAATACACTTCTCAGATTGCTGTGGTTACTGGTTTGAATTTTCCTTATTTACCTTGGTGCCTTTTAACTTTTGAGGTGAAATTTGTTACGCGACTTCATTACTTGCAAAATTTTGTTGAGTCAACATTCAATGCCCTTCCTTCGAATCAAGTTAAAGGTAGGATCGTACTCGGAGAAGTTTGTGAGGGGCCAATGGGACAAGGATTGCAAAAATACAAGGCTTGCCTCTCAGTGCGTTTCAGACTTACCCTCCTAAATTTTCTTCCAAATCACAATTTATATGATTAATTTACTGATTCTTTTTTCGGGATTTGAGTTTTTGTCTCCTGATTATTTTTTGCAGAGATTGTATTAATTTCCCTTTGACTGGAAATTTGGGGTTTCTTTAGGTATAATGTTATCAAATTTTATTTTTCCAATTTTCTGATTTTGGAGTTTTGCAGGGAGTGATATATACTAATTTTTTGGGATTGTTGGTCTTTGCAGGGTTTTCGCTCGCCAGACAATGATAGGTGAATCACGGCAAGCAACAACAATTATGCTGCAAACTGAATCCAAGATGACTAACCTGGAGTCTTCATGGTGGTCGCACCTCTCCTCATCTTTGCTCCTCCTCCGAAACCCCTCTGTAGGTTTCCGAACTTAAATTGTATTTGCTCTCTCTTTCTGCCCTTTAGAAGGGTTTCGGAAAAATAATTTTTTTTTTTTTTTACTATAATTTTGGTTTTGATGATAAAATTTGGATTTGCCCATTTGGGGATTTTCAAGTTCAGGACCTAGGAAACAAGTAGCAATGCAGAGGCACTGTTGGAGAGATTGTGGACCTCTGTTAAATCACAGTCTAGTGAAGGGATTAGCCCGTCTAACTTTGTGTTTTAGATGAATCCGTTTCGGATAAGGGAAAATTCAAACCCATAAAAAGTTGGGTTTCCTGGTGAGTTGTCCGGCAGATTTCAGGTGGCTAATTTCGTGATTACAATTAATTTTGCCTCATGACATTGTGGTATGCTATCGAATCTAATTGGCGATTTTTTTGTATGGTTTTTGTGTGGATGCAGGTCACCAATGAACAGGTTGATCACATCTTGAGTTTTTTGATTGATTTATTCAATTCTATCAGTTTTTATTCTGACCCTCCATAACATTTGCAGCACCATTTGCCTTGCTCCCATCACAGCTTGGCTTTCAGTTCCTCAGGTAAAGTTTCCACCTTTTTTTCTTCAGGAAAATAACAAAGATTCCAAATTTATTGAACTATTTAGTGATTTTCTGTTGAGTTTCTTCTTAAAATTTTTAATTAAAATTTTTTGAATTGAAATGGGGGGAATGGTGGATGTGAGAGTCTCTTTTACAACAATTCAAAGGGAAGAGCTTGAGAGACAGTGGACTCTTCCCCTATTCCTCCACATTCCCTTTTACCAATTTCCAAGAACACATTAAATTCCCTCAAAATATAAACCGAGGTCTGGAAAAGCTTTGAATTCCTTGGTTTCCTCCAATTAGTATGCAGAACTCTCAAAAAATAAAGAAGTGAGGGTTGAATGTCTACCCTCATATATACACAGAGAGATATGGAAAAAATTAGAATGGTGAAGTGAGGGTTCAATGACTTATTTGGTTCTATTTAAATAAAGTTCGCTGATTAGGTTGATTTGTGTTGTGTACATACACTTCTTGGCTTTATTTCTGTTTGATGGACTTATTTGTTTCTGTATCGGTTGCTGACAGAATGGATAGGGTGCCAGAAAGAAAGTTTTTGATAGAATTAGAGTTTGATCTCTTCATTTGGGTTGTGCATATTTCGTTTGATCTCTTACTTGGGTGTAGATTTCGTTTGAATTAATTTGGGTTGCCATTCGTAATTCTTTGTTTTTCACTCAAACATTATTTATGAAAATTGAAGCTATAAAATATTTCATATGATTTTCAATCCCGTAGCATCGCACGGGTACAAATTTCTAGCAACATCTTAGGAAGGCTGCAAACAAAAAGAAAAAATCGAATATTTATCCAAAATGAGTATGAAACGTTCCAAAATATTCCGGTTTTTTATATTTATTTACAAAAATTATGTTTTGCAGTCAAGTTTTGTATTTTAATGTTAATTTGGAATGCACTTTCTTTATTTTTTTTTATGTTAATCATACACTTATATATTAAAAAATCAAGCATATATGACAAAATAAACTGGATTTATATATAAGCATATACAGTATACCAAATATTGGGAAATAACAATAAATTTGTAAGCACGAAAGTGTTCAAGAATATCTAAAAACTTGTAAAAGAAATGAATTTCTAAATCATGTTTCAAAATTTCTGAGATTACTACGAATTGAAATATTTTTAAACTTTCGAATTTAAAAATTGTGATCCGATCTGATTTAATTCTACAATTTAAAAAAAAATGAAAACGTTGTGTTTCCAATTCGTCTATCTGACAATCATCTCCAACTGATTGTACCGGATCAAATTGCCCAATAACACAGTCAATTAACTTTCCAGAGGGAAACTGAAATACCTCTGCGAGTCTTCCCAACCCTCAGAATGGTAGACTGCTATAACGAAATCACCAACTGATTCCCTTTTAAAAAAATTAAATAAAATTATCTTTCTAGGGCTTGGAGCTGAACTCATCTATGCGAACTCTCTATTTTTAAAATTCGAACGTAAGATCTTTAATTTACAAATGAAGAAGAATACCACTAGACTGTAGTACTAAGGTCTTGTTATAATGCATTACATTCTCTAATGTTCATTTACCATAAATGTATCGTGTTTGCATCGTATGAAATAATCCTAAACTTAATCCCAATTTATTAACCACCAATACCTATAATTTATCATGCAAAATCTTATCGTTTATTGCGCTGTATATTACTATCACATCAACTTCTGACTTAGATGCATTCAATCCACGAAATTCACTTTGAAATTTGAAGATTAATTTGGTACATGAAATAATTTATCAAACAAAGATTCAGTAAAAAGTGACTACAAATACAACCAAAGGGTAAATAATGTATGAGGATCAATACATGCTAAAATACACCTTGTATACAGTCAGAGGAAAGAATCCACTAGACCATAGTATGACATGTATTTATTAAAATCCACAAAAATTCACTTGACTCATTCAATTTCTTCCTACCTGCTACCACTATTTATTTTCATTTCCAAATTTTCATGATGCCAAACGATCGTATTAGAAAACCTAATTGGTCAATGATGAAGTTAAAAGGGAGTTGTGGTGAAAGTTGTTGACAAGAATGGGTTGGTTGTGTTATTTTTTATTATTTATCGGAATTTAAATTTAGAGGCTAAATGCTCATAAGTTGAGAATTAAATCTTCAAAATGAGTTAGGTGCCAATCACATAAGGCTAAATTAAAGGGCAATATGAAAAACTAAATGAGAAAATTGTAGCAATAATCTCTCAACTTTAACTTTAATAGGAGAAATGATCCCTCAACTTTAGCCCAATTGAAACAATAGCTCCTCAACTTTAACCCAATTTTAGTAATGTTCTTCAAATATGGCTCATTTTGACGGAAGTTCTGACAGAGTTGACGAAAAGAACCATAGTTATACGTTTTGGTGAGTTAAGGGACAAATAGTAACATATTTTTAATTGAGAGAGCATCGCTCCAATTGGATTAAAGTTGCGGTACCATTATAACTCAAATGAGATAAACCATAGCAGTAAAAGCAATTTACATTGTAACAGCATCGTCGTCATCCTGTCGATGTTGAGATTTTGTTTGAACTGTTTAATTTGATATGCAGATAAAAGTCTCTTTGAATTGCAGATTTGAATGGCACAAAATAATAAGTAGGTGATTAACTAACTTGTAACTAATCAAGCTGATATGACGGTAAGTACCAGAAAGAAAAAACACGATGAACCAACTCCGGAGTTGAGCACAAGTTCACAAACACAACAGACTCGTATTCTAAATCCCATTGCAGCTGAGCAATATATAGAATTATCCGAAGATCGCTTAACCGTAGCAAGAGCACTCTCAGGGAACAATCTCATTCGTTTTTCTCTGTCCATTTCTATCTCTTTCTCTTGTATTACTTCTAGCTAGAACTGCATGCGGAAAATATGGGAAAGCATCTCTTGATGTATTTAACTAGAAAAGTTGTGATGCTTCCACATTCTCAAGTGATTTAGACCCTTTTGTAGGTACATCTAATTCCCGTTCCGTTCGAAGATCGAAGGGAAGCTATACGAAACAAATGGCAATGGCTTCGTTTCCTCTGAATGAATGAGCTTAATTAAAAACTGAATAACAAATGGCGAAGGCTTCCTTAATTAATTTGGTCCAAACTTGAAACAAAGAAAGGAATAACATCCCTAACTAAAAGATTATACGTAAAATTAAAAACTGAATAAGCTTAATTTCAGTAAATGAATCCCAAATACATAATATACCAAATAGTTTTCAAATTCGGAGCAGAAAATACTGGTAGCTAGCGAGCAAAGAAACAACTAAGAGGGAGAGATCAGGAATTTTTGTCAAGTACAAGATGATGAATGCGAACGGAACATAGAGCATCAACCCAATGACAATGCCAAGTTGCCAACGGAGTCCACGATGAGCAAGTGAGCAAATCAGTCCACAACAGCTAGAGCTTGAAACTGTTCGTCCGAGAAGGCTGCTTCCATGACATGGTGCGGGCCAATATCCCCACCATTCTCCAAGAAGGACCTGACCAAATTATTAGACCTGCCACGCAATAGCGTCACCCCTGGACAAGGCAAAGCGATTGAAGGCAATTCCCGGCACCAAATATCCCAAAACAGAATGTGAGGCACCGCATCATCCCCATACCCTTTGTCCTTAAACATGGTCCTTATGGCCTCGTACTGAGTCTCCCAGGCCGCGCCATCAAAAAAATCAGGGCCCATGTCGTCGTCGAAGATAAAGAGCTTCTGGATCATCTGATCTGGCTTCAAATTCTCATTGACAGTCACTTGGAGAATCAAATCAAACACCTTTTGCAAATGAACTACCAGGCAGCCATCCATTCCCTTCAAAAAAGATAATTTGGACCTTAGGCCATCGTTGCGGGGTACTGAATACAGATGAGGAAGACGAAAACAAAATAACAGAGCGTGGTCGTCCCCGGCAGCAGCAGGAAGAGGAGCGGAACTGATCAGCTTTCCTTTCCAGGCTGGCTCTTCATTCAGTTCACTCACAAAAAGTCCCAAACTCGCAATCAATTCCCTAGCCCCGCCCATAATGTTAGGAATGTCGGTACTACAAGATAGAGAATGCATAAGGTAAAGTAGAAAATGGACACCAAGAATTTATGTGGTTCGGCAATTTATGCCTACGTCCACCAAACAAGGATCAATCTTCACTATATGAAAAAGATGAATACAACAAGAGTAGTCTTACCAAGCCAAAGACAAGGCTTGATGGATACAAGAAAGTATAACACACACTTTCTATCACTCTAAACTTCACTCACACAATGTGTAGTGGAACACTCTCACTCTCACTCTTGGAGTGGAACTCTAGCTTTGGACTTGATCCTTTGCTACTCACTCTTGGTTCTCAATTGGTTACATCACACCCATATTTATAGGTGAGGGCTTGGCATTCTACTAGTTTCTAGTTCCTTCTTCAAACCTCTAGTATAGAAAAATCTAGACTAGCCACATACTTGTAGCTTCTAGATCTTTCCATTTGCAACCAAGGAAGCTAGTACTCTCTAGCTTCTTCCATCAACTTAATAACATGCTAGAATTGTCTAGCAAGCTCCAGCCTCATCTCTTGCTTACTAGAATAATCTAGAACATTGATCATGGGCTGGACCAACAATCTCCCCCTCCAGTCCATGAGGGAGGAATTCCGATCATGACTCCAAGTTACCTGGAGTTCATCCCAGCAGCCTTAATGCAGAATTCCAACTTTGATTTTGTGACTACATTTGTCAACATGTCTGAAGAATTATTATCGGTATGAATCTTCTTCAGCTGTAGCAACTTGTTCTCGATAGCGTCTCTAATCCAGTGATAACGAATATCAATGTGCTTAGTGCGTGAATGATATGTAGTGTTCTTGCTCAAATCCAGAGCACTCTGACTATCACAATAAACGCCATAATCACTTTGCTTCAAACCCAACTCTTGGAGAAACCGCTTCAGCCACAACAACTCCTTGCATGCTTCTGTAGCGGCTATGTATTCAGCCTCGGTTGTGGACAAAGCAATGCACTTTTGTAACTTGGATTGCCAAGACACGGCTCCCCCTGCAAAAGTAAACAAGTACCCAGACGTAGATTTTCTACCATCCAGGTCACCTCCCATGTCAGCATCTGTAAATCCTTCCAAGATTGGTTTGGAACCGCCAAAGCACAAGCACATCTTAGAAGTCCCCTTCAAATATCTGAGAATCCACTTAACAGCTTCCCAGTGGTCCTTCCCTGGATTAGAGAGAAACCTGCTCACCACACCTACTGCATGAGCAATATCTGGCCGTGTGCACACCATTGCATACATGATACTTCCTACTGCTGAAGAGTAGGGAACAACTGCCATTTTCTCCTTTTCTTCATATGTTTTTGGACACGACTCTTTGCTCAACTTGATATGATTGGCTAAAGGTGAGCTTACCGATTTGGCTGCTTTCATGTTGAACCTTTCAAGCACCCGTTCAACATACTTTTCTTGTGACAGCCACAACTTTTTGGATTTTCTGTCACGAATTATATCCATGCCCAAAATCTGCTTGGCTGGCCCTAAGTCCTTCATGTCAAAGGACTTAGATAACTCTTCTTTGAGCATTTTAATCATAGAGGTATCTTGTCCGACAATCAACATGTCATCAACATAAAGCAATAAGATGATGAATTTACCTCCAGAAAATTGTTTGATATAGACACAAGAGTCAGCATGAGTTCTCTTGTACCCATTACTCACCATGAATGAGTTGAACTTCTTATTCCACTGCCTCGGAGCCTGCTTAAGACCATATAAGCTTTTCTTGAGCTTGCACACCAAATTTTCTTTACCTTTGACTTCAAAGCCTTTGGGTTGCTCCATGTATATCTCCTCTTCTAAATTGCCGTGGAGAAATGCAGTTTTAACATCTAACTGCTCGAGCTCAAGATCCATACTTGCTGCCATACCAAGGATAACTCGAATGGAAGTCATCTTCACCACCGGTGAGAAAAATCTCATCGAAGTCAACTCCTTTCTTTTGACCAAAACCTTTGACAACCAAACGAGCCTTGTACCTTGTCATGTTGTCGTCTCTTTTCAATTTGAACACCCACTTGTTTTTCAATGCTTTCCTGCCCTTTGGAAGCTCCACCAGCTCATAGGTATCATTCTTTGATAAGGAATCCATCTCCGACTCCATTGCCTTCATCCATTTGTCACTGTCGTTATGAGCTCTGGCCTCCTCATATGTTTCAGGCTCTCCATAATTAGTCAACATGATATACTCTGATGAAGAATACTTGGTAGACGGTCTTCGACTTCTGATGGATCTTCTGACCTGATCTTCATTCTCTTGTAGGGCTGGAGGCTCCCCCTGATTGGGTTCTCCTTGAATCTGCTCTTCTTGACTAGGCTCCACCTGATCAGCAATCTCATGGTCTGGCACATCTTGATCAGGCTCCCCCTGATCAGCATTATCTGGTTCTGCAGGCACTTCATTGGCAGCTGCTTCAGGGATGTCATCGTGACTTTCTTCATCTGAAGCTAATGGATCAACTCCTCTGTCTGCGCCATCTGGTTGTGCTTCTTTATCCGAATCCCCAATTGTTTGATCTTCATAAAAGATCACGTCTCTACTTCGAATAAACTTCTTCTGGTATGGGTCCCATAATCTGTAACCAAAATCTTCATCGCCATAACCAAGAAAGATGCACGGTGTAGCTTTGTAGTCTAACTTCGATCTCTGCTCTTTGGGCACATGCACAAAAGCTTTACAGCCAAACACTTTCAGATGAGAGTAAGACACATCATTACCAGCCCATACTCTCTCTGGAACATCAAGACCTAATGGTACTGATGGAGATCGGTTGATCAAATAGCAGGCTGTCCTTACAGCTTCACCCCAGAACTGCTTAGATAACTTTGCAGTCCTCAGCATACACCTGACTTTCTCCATGATGGTTCGGTTCATTCTTTCAGCAACACCATTATGTTGTGGAGTTCCAGGAACTGTCTTCTCATGACGTATGCCATGTTTCACACAATACTCTCTAAACTGGTGAGATGTGTACTCGCCGCCGTTGTCGCTACGAAGGCACTTAAGAGGTTTCCCAATTTCCCTCTCCACCATGGCATGGAACTCCTGGAATGTCTGAAACACCTGGTCTTTGGATTTCAACAAATACACCCAAACCTTTCGTGAAGCATCATCAATATAAGTAACAAAATATTTATTTCTTCCGAGTGACTCGACTTCCATGGGACCATACACATCTGAATAAACAAGATCTAACAAATTTCCTTTCCTTGTAGATGGAATCGAAAAACTAATTCTTCTTTGTTTTCCTAATAAACAGTGCTCACAAGAGTTTAACGACGTACCTTTGGCAAAGGGAATGTGAGACTTCTTTGCCAAAACCTGTAGGCCTTTCTCGCTCATGTGACCTAGCCTCTTATGCCACAAGTCTAGAGATGAGTCCTCCACAGCATTCAACTCACCTTTCAAAACCTTGGCATTTGACCGGTACAACGTACAACAAAGTCGTGCTCTTGCTACCACCATTAAGCCTTTAGTAAGCTTCAATTTTCCTTCGCCAATATGGTGATAATATCCTTGTCGATCAAGGGTACCGATGGATATCAAATTGAGACGTATATCAGGAATATGTCTCACATCTTTCAACATCAATTGGCAGCCGAGATTAGTTCTTAGACATATATCACCAATTCCAAGAATTTTGGAATAGCTTTCATTCCCCATCTTCACTATGCCAAAGTCACCTTCTTTGTATGTACTGAAGAACTCCCGTTTGGACGTAGCATGGAAGGAAGCTCCATTGTCAAAGATCCATTCAATGTCTCTGTCAGAGTTGCCCATATGCAGACATTCACCAACAGACAATATTTCTGGTACATCACCACATATGACAGCAGTGGTATTGCCAGTATCATCTTTCTTCTGATTGTTTCCTTCCCTTTGCTCTCTCTTCCAAACTCGACAATTTTTTCTTCATATGGCCTTCTTTGCCACAATGGTGGCATGCACCCCTGAACCTTGACTTGGATCGGCTAGGACTCCTGCCATGACCTCTAGGCCCTCTACTCTTGCTTCTTCCGCGGTTCTCTCTGTGACAAATACTTGGCTGCTATCTGTGCCAGAAGTCTTTCTCCTTGTTTCTTCATTGAGCATGCTATTTTTAACATTATCAAGGGTAAGAACACCATTAGAAGCAGAGTTACTTATACTCACCACAAAGGTCTCCCAACTGTCTGGCAAGGATCCAAGTAACAAGAGCGCTTGTAGCTCGTCCTCGATCGTCATTTTCATAGTAGCCAACTGGTTGATGATATTCTGGAAATTGTTCAAGTGTTCTGCTACACTTAAACCATCCTTGTACTTCACATTGATGAGCTCTTTGATCAAGAAGGCTTTCTTAGCTGGAGTCTTCTTCTCGAACAAGGACTCAAGCTTTGTCCAAAACTCGCGAGCATTGGTTTCATTAGACACATGGTGAAAAAACACTATCGTCCACCCATTGTCTAATTGTGCCAATAGCCTTGCGATTCATCTTCTTCCACTCGGCATCGGACATGCTCTCTGGCTTAGCGGCATCTCCTTCAATTGGCTCATGCAGATCCTTGCAATAGAGAATGTCCTCCATCCTTGGCTTCCATGTTACCCAATTGGAGTTGGTGAGTTTGATCATAGTGCCACTTCCTTCCATCTCGCAGTACGAGCCAACCGGGCTCTGATACCACTTGTTAGGAATGTCGGTACTACAAGATAGAGAATGCATAAGGTAAAGTAGAAAATGGACACCAAGAATTTATGTGGTTCGGCAATTTATGCCTACGTCCACCAAACAAGGATCAATCTTCACTATATGAAAAAGATGAATACAACAAGAGTAGTCTTACCAAGCCAAAGACAAGGCTTGATGGATACAAGAAAGTATAACACACACTTTCTATCACTCTAAACTTCACTCACACAATGTGTAGTGGAACACTCTCACTCTCACTCTTGGAGTGGAACTCTAGCTTTGGACTTGATCCTTTGCTACTCACTCTTGGTTCTCAATTGGTTACATCACACCATATTTATAGGTGAGGGTTTGGCATTCTACTAGTTTCTAGTTCCTTCTTCAAACCTCTAGTATAGAAAAATCTAGACTAGCCACATACTTGTAGCTTCTAGATCTTTCCATTTGCAACCAAGGAAGCTAGTACTCTCTAGCTTCTTCCATCAACTTAATAACATGCTAGAATTGTCTAGCAAGCTCCAGCCTCATCTCTTGCTTACTAGAATAATCTAGAACATTGATCATGGGCTGGACCAACACATAATTCTGTCCATGTTACATACAGCGAAGCAGTTTCTGAATTTGGCACCCTCCTTGTGCTTGCGCAGCAATGCATTCCACTGAAGCTCAGCCGCCTCCCCAACATTCGCATCTTGCAAATATCGTATGATAAAATGTGGAAGCAAAGCATCGGGCTCTATGACGCAGCTTAAATTGCCTTTGCTAGCTGATGCTGCTGAGGCTTTCACCTGCTCCAAATATTTAATATCCACACCCCACCGTCTCGGGTTGAACCTGCCCTGACGCTTGTAGTACTTCTGCAAGGGCGCCAAGAACTCCTTCCTCAGCCGCTCCCACTGATCATCCTCCTTTGATGATTGATCTGGTTGTTGCGATTGCGACACCAAAGGGAAGAGCCGCCTGGCAGTGCTTTCACGAAGCGCAATGGCGCGGATGGCATGGGCGTCGGAGGGGAATGTGGTGAGGAAACAGTCTGCGGCCTCGGAGACGTAGAGATCAGCAAAAGCATCAGCATCAATAGGACGTATAACAGAATCATGTTCCCGAGAATCATCCTCGTCATGATCGTCGTCATCAGTTAAATAATCAGAAGGCTTGAGTTCCAGCTTGTTCTGCTGCATCTTTTGAATATCGGACTTGAGCCGCTCCACGAAAATATCCATAGCGCGGTCGTGCAAGGACTTGTAATGCGGATCGCGGTCGTATCTCTGGCGGTGTTTCTCCTCCATCTCCTCCACCTCAGTCTCCTGCTGGTCCTGCGGAAGGAGAAGGCCGTAGAGAATCTTGACAATGGCGTATAATCCCCCGAAAGAGTCAAGGTTATGCGCCAGAGTTCTGGGGTGGTTGCGGTGGAGCCAAGACATGGCCGCGGACGAGGCTTCGGATAGAAGTGATTTGTGGAGAGGTTGAAGATAAGCTTGAGGGTGGTGAGGGGGTTGTGGGACCAGGCGAGTGGGAGCCGTTGCTCGAGAGAGTTGATGAGGGCAGTGTCAGTGTGGGAAGTACGGGCGGCAGATGCTGGTGGTGGTCGCACCTTGAAAAAGATATCGAGGCACGGGTCGCTGTAGAAGGAGGAGGAGGAGTAGGAGGAAGCCATAATCTGAGGCTTAGCGGCGGCGTTGGCCACCTTGGACGCTATGAAGCTTGTTGCGAGGTGGAATTGCGGAGGAGGAGCGACACCAACCACCCTTGTCAGTGAAGGAAAAGAAACAATGCTGCCTGGTGTTGCTAATTTCAGAACCCTGGCCAGATTCTTCATCTCTAAATCTCAAATTCAAATTATGTCCCTCTCTGTTGGGTGGCGGTTGGAGTAGGAATTGTGGATCTTTATTTGTTGGAGAAGAAGATATGAGGATATAAATTGGGTCCGGGAGTTGTGCGTGTCATGTAATTCTCATGATTATTTATCCTTGTTTTCCAAGTAATACGATTAATAATCTATTAGGATTTATAAAAATCACAGTTTTAATAGAATTAGGACTGCAACCGTCTTTCACTTTTTAACAAAAATTACAACAACAAAGCCTTATTGATCCTTCTAAATAAGAATTTTTTATTTTAGAAAAAGTAAATGATTGTTTGGTTCAGAAGAATAGTTTTCCTATTTGTTTGTTTGTAATTTTCTGTTTCGTTTTACAAAACCATTTCATTTACAAATAACGTTAAGAGAGCGTGTGATACTTTTTGATCCCTCACCTCAGCTGGGTTGATAAATATCTTTAGCTCAATACGTAATTGAGATTGTTTGTTCAATTTATTGGAGCTGAGCAGTGTGCCATTCCTAATTTCTTTGGTTTAGAATTGTCGCGCAGCTCATGCTGCAATGGTTCCACGCTTGTTAAACTAAACGCATTCATTAAACCAATCTATTTTATATTAATTCATATATATATATATATATATATATAGAAAGCAAATAACATAAACGTTTTTACGTGCGTCCACGTTCATCTAATTTAAAATATTTAAAATAGCACTCTTACTCAAGCTGCACTTCTTCCTTTCCTTCAGCCCTCTTCTTTCTCTTCTCTGGAGTGACCTAATGCTGCTTGAGCACTTTGTTCTTGTCATGCAGCTCATGCTGCCATGGTTCCACGCTTGTTAAACTACTTTTAGTTTGAACAATGTTTTGCGAAACCCATTCATTAAACCACTCTATTTTATATTAATTCATACACACATATATATATAGAAAGTAAATAACATAAACGCTTTTACGTGCGTCCACGTTTGCCTAATTTATTTATCTAGGAGGCAAAACGTTTTTATGTGCATCCACATTCGCCTAATTTAAAATATTTAAAATAGCACTCTTACTTAATGCTGCCTGCTTCAGCGCTTCTTCCTTCTCTTCTCTGGAGTGACCTAATGCTCCTTGAGCACTTTTTCCTTTTCTGGAGTAACCTCTATCCCCACCCTCTTGCCCGCATCATGTACTTCCCTTTTGAAATTGCCAGAGATCATCATTTATTACAATTTCCACTTTCCAACCATGCTCCTCAAAAGAGGCAAGCTCGCAGAGGGCTTATGCATCTTGGAAATCTTCAACAACAACTCTCCTATGGCTCTGTAGCTCCTCCACGTCTCTTAGAGAAGCTGCCTTCTTCGCATGGAAGTTTTCTAGCTTTTCAGAGTCAACATTTTGGTTATTACTTTCGAGGCTTCTCACCTCTCTCTTCAGGGGAAGGTAATCATTTTGTTTGTTTGATTTCTTTCTAATATTCAAATAATTATTGTTGTGTAATCCTAATAGCACTGTTGTTGCAGCTCGAATAGATATGTACCAGAGCATGGGAGATGCTCTTGCGCAGCAGTATGGTGGCTCTGCAGCTCACAACACTGTATGTTCTTATTTTATTCTTGGGTTAGAGCATGTATATATTATCAGTTGGTAGATGTCATAGATCAACCCCTATATTCTAACGTAAAGTAAAAAAAGAAAAAAAAAACTCTATCTCTAATCAGATGTCCACTGAAAAGAAAACAAATCACATTACAGACCAATACATTTTTGCAGTCTTCTTGACAACAACAACTTATCTGGGTATCTTTTGCCAGGGTTCTCGGAGTTGCCAAGCTTATTAATGTTGTATGTTTTCTTACTTTGGAACATAAATTTGTGCCTTAATTATGTTTTCATCCTTTCCTTTCTTGCATTTTCGTACTGTTGGGAACAATTCTCTAGACTTTCCTTTTTCTACAACATAATGCAATCCCGTATCAAGTTTCTTAGCCCTATAATCTTATTTGTTTTGCAGTCAAGTTGACAACAACTTTGGTGGGATTACAATTCCAGATTCGTATAGCAACATGTCAAAACTGTTCAAGTTGTAAGTGCTGCTTCTGATTCTATGTCTTTTAGTAAGTTGTAAGAGCTTTAAATCTCTATTTTTTCATACATCAGATTTAAAGCTCCAACTATGGAGGTGTAAATCCAAAAGATTTGTGATTAAGCATAGCAACAATAGAGGGAATCATAGTTTTTGTTGTGAAACAAATTTCCAACCACTGTGCAGGGAACATCTCACGTTTCTATCACATTAGGTGATGGTGCTGGTTGTTTGGAATGACAATCGAGAAGTAGCTCTTAATATTTAACACGACGAATCATGTCAAGATTGAATATCTTTGTGTTTTTATTGTTTCTTTCAGGAGTTTGAGGAACTGCAACTTACAAGGGCCTATTCCTAATTTTAGTAGGTTTCCAAACCTTGGTTATGCATAGGTTCAAGTTTAACTGTGTAATAAATGGAGAGATTAATCGCCGTCACTCATAGCTGCGTTTCAGGAAACAAGTTTATCTCTTGCCAATTTTGTATACCCACTTTTTGTGTGTATTATACAGTAAAATGACATTTTTGTCCCTGCTGCGCAATAGAAATCTCTCCGTTTCTTCAGAACCCGCACTCAGCTTTCACCATCTCTCTACCATCTCTGCTTTCTTCCATCTCTGCTTCGCGCTCTTCAATCTTTGCTTTGTCATCTCTTCCTCCGTGATTTCTTCACCAGCAACTTTGCTCAAGATCTTTCCAATTGAAAAAACCCAGATCATCATCATCTATTCCTCATCACCACAGGTACCTTCTACACCTATTACATGTCAAAATCTGCTTCGTGTTCTCTTCATGTTTTAGTTCCTTTTCACTGCTTTTGGTTGATTTTTATTCCCATTTCTTTTCGATCTCTTCTTTCGTAGCCGTCTGCTCTCTCTTCTTTCTTCGCCTCTGTTGGTCTCAAAGTGGATAGTTTTGCGGTGAGTTGTTCTAATCTTGCATCTACAACTTTTTTATGCAACTGTATGGATTGTGTTCTGTTCAATTTTAGATGTTAGAAGCTTTTAATTTCTTAGGTTCAATTTTAAATGGGTTGTTGCTTTCGGAGTTTTCGTTTAATGACAGAGATGGGGTTTTTTGGGGAGAAACTTTTAATATTTTCCCCCCTTTTTAGCAGCAGACTTCAAATCTTTGTCCATTCCCATTTTATCGAAAAAGCAGTTCATAAAGTTTCAATTTTTATCAGAGAAAAGAGAGAGAGATGAGAGAAATCATAAGCATTCATATTGAGCATGCTGGAATTCATGTGGGCAATTCATGCTGGGAGCTCTACTGCCTCGAGCATGGAATTCAACCTGATGGGCAGGTGCCCAGGTAGGTTTTTGTATATCTCCATCGATATTTCTATTTATATATGCACTTTTTTGGGGTTTTTTATTTATTTTGGTGGGTGTTTTTCTCAAATGGTAGTGTAGATCAATGTGTTCTGACTTTATCATTATTGGTTATTAAAGGGTTTCTTGGAAATTTGGAATAGTTGCTTTTAATATATTGGTGTTTGAGATCTTTTGTATGAATTTCAGATATCTGATTGTTGTTATCTATTTATTTGGGGGGTGTATATCTGTTGATTATATAAGTATTTTGTTGGAGTTTTTGATATTTTTGAGTGGACTGTCATAGGGTTCAGAAATATTTTCAACTCAAGAATGGATTTTCTGAAAGGAGTTGATGGTGAAACTAAAAGTTACCATAAAAGAAATAGCATTGATTTTGCTTGAATCTGACTGATCGGATGCATTTGCTTTCTTTGCAAGGTTGTTGAAATTGATACGTCCCAAGTCTGGTGAGATTAGAGATAGTATCAAGGAACTGAATATGATGCAACACATCCATTGCAGGTAACTGAAGCTGATATTGAACATTGTCGATTCATCGGAACCTATATTCTTCTGCGTTTCCTCAAAATCCAAGGTACGGACTTCACCCAGCCGTAAGTTATTGGGATTTTTTTATTTTAGTTTTGGATTAGTAATTTTTTGCTCGGTAGCTGAGAAAATGTGATCCCTTGTTTTAGGTTTGGTGTTTTTGTGATTTTGGGTTCGTAGGTTTTTCAGATTTTGGGAGTTTGTTTGTAGGCTGCAAAATCCTCTGTTCTCAAGGTAAGTAATTTAAAATTCTGGGATTATTCAATTGAAAGTTTAGAGGTCGCACTTGGTGCGATGGCAAGTGCCTTCGCCCATGAGCGGTAGGTCTCGGGTTCGAGACTTGGGAGTAGCCTCTCCATAAATGGGGGTAAGGCTAGCCGACATTCACCTCTCCCAGACCCTGCGTAAAGCGGGAGCCTTATGCACTGGGTACGACCTTTTCAATTGAAAGTTTCAATTTATAGTTTAGTTTAGTTTAGTTATTTTATAATTATACAATAATTTTAATTAACTCCGCCTATGTCTTACATGGCCGGTCCCAAGCCCGGATAAAGGAGGAGGGGGAGGGCGTCAGGTAGTCGACAACCGGCACTCCATGATCACGTCGAATCCTTATGAAAATGAATCCAGAACAAAATCGCGCTAAAGCTAGGGCGTCACCCGTAAGTGGCGCGCTGTGTGGCCTGAGCACAGTGATAAGTGAGCAAGGGTCGCTGTATCTCCATCGGCACCCGGATGCAGTGTTAAATGAGCAAGGGGGCCATAGAAACTTCTTTTCGAACGACTCCACTCAAAGTTGTTTGGGAGCATATGCTCCTATCAACTTTACCCGGGACACACAAAAGAAGTACTTTGATCCTATTAGACGGGGGAGGTGAAGAAGCTAGGACAGAAGGGTAGAGTTCAAGAGAGCAAAATGCGTTTAGGAACGTGGAATATAGGAACCTTAACGGGAAAATCTATGGAAGTAGTGGAAGTTATGGTGAGGAGAAGGATAAATATTATGTGCCTACAAGAAACTAAGTGGGTTGGTAGTAAGGCAAAGGATCTAGAAAACTCAGGGTTTAAACTTTGGTATTCGGGCACAAATAGAACGAGAAACGGTGTTGGCATCATCGTGGACAAGACCTTGGTACAAGATGTTGTAGATGTCAAGAGGGTAGGAGATAGAATCATGGCAATCAAGATTGTAATAGGACAAGAACTTATCAATGTGATTAGTGCGTACGCACCTCAAGTAGGGTTGGATACGAGTTCGAAGGAGAAATTTTGGGAAGATCTTGGAGACTTGGTGCAAGGAATTGCTCAGACGGAGAAGTTATTTATAGGAGGAGATTTAAATGGACACGTGGGCAGGGAGACAGGCAACTATGGAGGTTTTCATGGTGGCCATGGTTTTGGGGAGAGAAACGAGGATGGGGAAGCTATCTTGGATTTTGCAATGGCATATGATCTCTTCTTAGCCAACACCTTCTTTAAGAAGAGAGAAGAACATGTGATCACCTACAAGAGTGGGTCGTCAAAAAACACAAATAGATTTTCTTCTAATGAGGAAAGGGGATCGTATAACTTGTAAGGATTGCAAAGTTATACCAGGAGAGAGCGTGGCTAATCAACATCGCTTGTTGGTGATGGATGTACATATCAAAAGAGTAAGACAAAAGAACAAGACTTGGAAGTGCCCAAGGACTAGATGGTGGAATCTAAAAGAAGAAAAAACAAGCCATTTTCAAAGAGAAGGTAATCACCCAATGTGTGTGGGATAGAGAGGGGGAAGCTAGCCAAATGTGGGATTCCATGGCTAGTTGTATCCGAAAAGTAGCAAAAGAGGTATTAGGAGAGTCCAAGGGCTTTGCCCCACACCAAAAGGAATCTTGGTGGTGGAATGAGGAGGTACAAACAAAGGTGAAGGCTAAGAAGGAATGTTGTAAAGCCTTATACAAGGAGAGGACCGATGAAAATGGTGAAAGGTATAGAAAAGCGAAGCAAGAGGCGAAGAAAGCTGTCAGAGAAGCTAAGTTAGCGGCTTACGACGATATGTATAAACGACTAGATACCAAAGAAGGAGAGTTGGATATCTATAAACTATCTAGAGCAAGGGAAAAGAAGAAGACAAGGGACCTAAACCAAGTGAGGTGCATCAAGGATGAGGATGGAAAGGTTCTTGCTACAGAGAACGCGGTTAAAGACAGATGGAGAGGTTATTTTTCATAATCTTTTCAATGAAGGACATGAAATGAGTGCTTCTTTAGGGGAGTTGAGTAACTCAGAAGAGTGTAGAAACTACTCTTTTTATCGTCGAATCCGGAAGGAAGAAGTGGTTGTAGCTTTGAAGAAGATGAAGCATAAAAAAGCAATAGGCCCAGACGATATACCAATCGAAGTGTGGAAAGTTTTGGGAGAGACAGGTATAACATGGCTCACTGACCTTTTCAATAGGATTTTGAAAACGAAGAAGATGCCAAATGAGTGGCGAACGAGCACTTTGGTGCCTATCTACAAGAATAAGGGCGACGTACAAAATTGCATGAACTATAGGGGTATTAAGCTAATGAGTCATACAATGAAGCTCTGGGAGAGAGTCATTGAGCATAGATTGAGGCAAGAGAGACACGGGTTTCGGACAACCAATTCGGGTTCATGCCAGGGCGCTCAACCATGAGGCAATCTATCTCTTACGAAGATTGATGGAAAGATATAGAGATGGGAAAAAGGATTTACACATGGTCTTTATAGATTTGGAAAAAGCGTATGATAGGGTCCCAAGAGACATTCTTTGGAGGATTTTAGAGAAGAAAGGAGTACGAGTAGCATATATCCAAGCTATAAAGGATATGTATGAAGGAGCAAAGACTGCCGTAAGAACTCATGAAGGACAAACCGAAAGCTTTCCCATAACTGTAGGATTACATCAAGGCTCATCCTTAAGTCCTTACCTTTTTGCGTTGGTAATGGATGAGTTAACAGGACATATTCAAGATGATATTCCTTGGTGTATGCTTTTCGCAGACGATATAGTGTTGATAGATGAAACTCAGGAAGGGGTAAATGCAAAGCTTAACCTTTGGAGAGAAGTGTTGGAATCTAAAGGTCTTCGCCTAAGCCGATCAAAGACAGAATATATGGAGTGCAAGTTCAGTGCAAATGGAGGCCAAAACGAGTTAGGGGTGAGGATCGGAGATCAAGAAATACCAAAGAGCGACCGTTTTCGTTACCTAGGATCTATCTTGCAAAAGAACGGAGAATTAGATGGAGATCTCAACCATAGAATACAAGCTGGATGGATGAAGTGGAAGAGTGCATCCGGCGTGTTGTGTGACCGCCGTATGCCACTGAAGCTCAAGGGAAAATTTTATAGGACGGCAATAAGGCCGGCGATGCTGTATGGCACAGAATGTTGGGCGGTGAAACATCAACACGTACACAAAATGGGTGTAGCGGAGATGAGGATGCTTCGTTGGATGTGTGGGCACACGAGAAAGGATAAGATTAGGAATGAGGATATCCGGGGTAAAGTAGGAGTAGCCGAAATTGAAGGAAAGATGAGAGAAAATCGGTTACGGTGGTTTGGACATGTGCAAAGAAGGCCTACTGACGCTCCGATTAGAAGATGCGACTATGGGACAGAGGTTCAGGGCCGAAGGGGTAGAGGAAGACCTAGGAAAACTTTGGAAGAGACTCTAAGAAAAGACTTAGAGTACTTGGATCTAACGAAGGACATGACACAGGATCGAGCACAATGGCGTTCTAAGATTCATATAGCCGATCCCACTCAGTGACTTGGATTTTCCAAGTCTCCAACCGAGAAGTTTTCCTCACTCGGGAAATTAAGGGAACACTACCCCAACCTACATGCTCCACTCAGAAAGCTTCAACATACAAGCTTCAACAAAAGAAAATTCAAAGAACTTAGCGAAGAAGGCTTTGGTGTATTTAACACAATACGTTGAAATGAAGGAAAGCTTATTTATTGATATCCCCGATAAGCTACAAATATGTACATATACATGAGTCAAAATAAACACACAAGAGGGAGCCTTCACAAAGGTTGCTTAGGAGAAGTCTCAGCAGTCGGTAGAGCCCCAGAAAGAGAAGGCACCGGAGGGGGATCATTTGGAGCCTCAGTACTGGACAGAACCCTAGAAGGAGGAGGCATCAGAGGTTGATCATTTGGAGCTTCATTACGCGGTACAGCCCCAGAAGACGAAGGCAATAAATGCCTTTGGAACAAACCCACAAATCTCTGATGATCAAGTAAAACCTGACCATCAGTTTCCTTCATCTGGTCAAGCTTCCTCTTCATGTTTGTAGCATAGTCATGTGCGAGCCGGTGCAACTGTTTATTCTCATGCTTGAGCCCTCTAATCTCCTGTTTGAGACTCATCACTTCAGCCGCCAATGATTCAACTTGGCGGGTTCGAGCAAATAGGCGTTGGGCCATATTAGACACAGAACCTGCACACTGAACACTGAGAGCCAGCGAATCCTTAACAGCTAACTCATCAGACCGTTTGGAAAGTAGTCTGTTATCTTTGGGAGTGAGAAGGTTCCTGGCCACCACCGCAGCGGTCATATCATTCTTCATCACGGAATCCCCAACGGTAAGAGGACCAGTAGGGGAGACGAAGGATGGGCGCCATATGTTGTCTGGAGAAGGCGGGGCTGCCTCTTCAACAAGGTTCAAGTCAAAACGACGGTCGGAGGGGCCAGACATTTTCAAAGGTGTTGAAGAGAGAAGAGGTCGGACAAATCAAGATCTTAGAAGTGCAAGAATGAAGCTTCTACTGGTGGAGATTCAAGTGTGCTTTAGAACTTAATGCCAGCCCCTATAAAAATCTGCACTCGACGGAGCTTCAGAAATCGAAGAGGCGTTTGCTTTCTCAAAAGCTGGGCTGCTTAGAGATCACGAGGGTTGATCTCAGAAATCGAAGAGGCTTTTTGCTTTCTCAAAAGTTGGGCTGCTCAAAGACCACGAAGGCCGATCTCAGAAATCGAAGAGGCGCTCGCTTTCTCAAAAGCTGGGCTCCCCAGAGACCACGAGGGCCGATCTCAGAAATCGAAGAGGCACCTATTTTTCCAGCCTTGTCAGCACCTGTCACACGCACACTCAGCTTTGCGGAAATTATGGGCATTCTGTCGAAGACTTCTGGGGAAGTAGAAAACACATGAATCTTACTGTTCAATCACCCACTTCCCACACGCAACAATAGCTCATGGGTACCACAGATAACTTTGCCAAAGTTCTCTGCCAAAGTTGAGCACGTGAAGCTTGCAGCTCCCACTACATCGCTCTGACCAAGAAGGGTAAAAGAATAGCAAAGAAACAGCACTAACAAAGTTTAGACCCATAAATTTTGAAGGTCTAGCTACCATATTATTACCCACAAGGGTAAAGGAACAGTACCACTGCTGGATAATTGGAAAGTCCCTGTGTGTCAACCTCTGTGCTTCGTGGCAAGGTAGACTAGCAAACATGCCCAACCTTTACTCACATTCGAGAAAACACTCCCAACAAGATTGCTTGCTCCAAAATCGAAGAGGCACCGCCCTTCCGAATCTCGAGAGCCAGACTCCCAACATGATTACTTTCTCAAAAAATCGAAGAGACACTGCTCCCCCGAATCTTCGAGAGCCAAACCCCCAGCATGATTGTTTTCTCAAAAATCGATGAGGCATCGTTCTCCGAATCAATCGAAGAGGCGCTCGCTTTCTCAAAAGCTGGGCTGCTCAGAGACCACGAGGGCCGATCTCAGAAATCGAAGAGGCACCTACTTTTCTAGCCTTGTCAGCACCTGTCACACGCACACTCAGCTTTGCAGAAATTATGGGCATTCTGTCGAAGATTTCTAGTGAAGTAGAAAGCACATGAATCTTACTATTCAATTACCCACTTCCCACACGCAACAATAGCTCATGGGTACCATAGATAACTTTGTCAAAGTTCTCTGCCAAAGTTGAGCACGTGAAGCTTGCAGCTCCCACTACATCGCTCTGACCAAGAAAGGTAAAAGAATAGCAAAGAAACAGCACTAACAAAGTTTAGACACATAAATTTTGAAGGTCTAGCTACCATAATATTACCCACAAGGGTAAAGGAACAGTACCACTGCTGGATAATTGGAAAGTCCCTGTGTGTCAACCTCTGTGCTTCGTGGCAAGGTAGACTAGCAAACATGCCCAACCTTTACTCACATTCGAGAAAACACTCCCAACAAGATTGCTTGCTCCAAAATCGAAGAGGCACCGTCCTCCGAATCTCGAGAGCCAGACTCCCAACATGACTACTTTCTCAAAATCGAAGAGAGGGTAAAGGAACAGTACCATTGCTGGATAATTGGAAAGTCCCTATGTGTCAACCTTTGTGCTTCGTGGCAAGGTAGACTAGCAAACATGCCCAACCTTTACTCAAATTCGAGACAACACTCCCAACAAGATTGCTTGCTCCAAAATTGAAGAGGCACCGCCCTCCGAATCTCGAGAGCCAGACTCCCAACATGATTACTTACTCAAAAATCGAAGAGACACTGCTCTCCGAATCTCGAGAGCCAGACCCCCAGCATGATTGCTTTCTCAAAAATCGAAGAGGCATCGTTCTCCGAATCTCGAGAGCCAGATACCACAGACCACTTTTTCAAAGTGCTCTGACAGAGTTAAAACATGTGAAACTGACAGCTCCCACTACCGTGCTATGACCAAGCAGGGTAAAGGAATAGCATTACTACTTGTTGTTAGGGAGACTCCTATATATGTCAACCTCCATCCCCAACGGACAGGCAGACCTGCAAAAATGCTCAACCCTTCATCATATCTGAGAGGGCACTCCCAACGAAGCCTTTCGAAATATTCAGCTTTCTTTCCCCCCGATAATACCTCTGCAAACAAGCTATACTAGAGCAAGAATATCTCATATCATCAGGGTTAAAAGCAAGAGTATCCCATATCATGCTTTTTCCCTATCTTTTCCTTTGGCCTTGTTTTTACCTGCAAGACAAGGAGAAAGAGAGCAATCAGTCAGCACTTGGAATCAAGCTTCCAGCCAGGAACTGACTGCCTGGAACCCCTTACCTGATTACTTACCTGGCATTGCTCTCGAGTACTCATCTTCAACATCTTATGTTTCCAAGGGAAGATTCCGCATCTGCTTGAGGAACAGATAGGGCAAGTGCGAAGGATACAAGGAAGCATGTGGAGACAAGCGTAACAGCACACGTGCCGATACATCCATTACTCTGTCAAAAGCAAAAGTATCCCATATCAGCAGGGTGGAACGTACTCTAGATTTGATGGACTTGTTTTGACCCTCAAATTCTTCAGTCGGCCTTATACTCTGGAGGAAACCAGAAAACCCTCCAGCTCAGTTCAAGAATAAGCCTGTGGAAAGTTACTTCTTCAAAAGCAAAAGTATCTCATATCATCTCTTCTCATTTTTCTTCTCTTTATCCTTCATGCTGTTGCAAGATGGGGAGAAGGTGAACAATCAGTCGGAGCTCTGATTGCTTACCTTGTCTGTCACCTCTTTCAGCAGACCCCCTAGCTCGGCGACTTGGGGGACTCCTACTACATGGTTTGTATCGCGCTTGACCAAGCCTGAAACTACAAGTAAGCTTCAAGTGAAATTGATACATTACCTTGTGCATCTCCACCAGTTAAAGATACCACCCCTGGATGGAGGAAAAGTACTTCCAGAGAAGATGCCACATCTACCTATGAGACAGATAAGGCAAGTCAAGACGACACACCACTCCGATACTTAGAAGTTTCGTGATTACGAGATCATTCTCCCACAATATTTCCTAATGTCATTTGTACTAAATCATTCACTTGTACTCACTAAAGGAGAGCTTGAACCTATGTACTTGTGTAAACCCTTCACAATTAATGAGAACTCTTCTATTCCGTGGACGTAGCCAATCTGGGTGAACCACGTACATCTTGTGTTTGCTTTCCTATCTCTATCCATTTATATACTTATCCACACTAATGACCGGAGCAATCTAGCGAAGATCACAAAAAGCGACCGTTTTCGCTACCTAGGATCTATCTTGCAAGAGAACGGAGAATTAGATGGAAATCTCAACCATAGAATACGAGCTGGATGGATGAAGTGTAAGAGCGCATCCGGCGTGTTGTGTGACCGTCGTAGGCCACTGAAGCTCAAGGGAAAATTTTATAGGATGGCAATAAGGCCAGCGATGTTGTATGGCACAGAATGTTGGGCGGTGAAGCATCAACACGTACACAAAATGGGTGTAGCGGGAGATGAGGATGCTTCGTGGGATGTGTGGGCACACGAGAAAGGATAAGATTGGGAATGAGGATATCCGAGGTAAAGTAGGAGTAGCCGAAATTGTAGGAAAGATGAGAGAAAATCGGCTCCGGTGATTTGGACATGTGCAAAGAAGGCCGACTGACACTCCGGTTCGAAGATGTGACTACGGGACAGAGGTTCAGGGCCGAAGGGGTAGAGGAAGACCTAGGAAAACTTTGGAAGAGACTCTAAGAAAAGACTTAGAGTACTTGGATCTAACGGATGACATGACACAAAACCGAGCGCAATGGCGTTCTAGGATTCATATAGCCGACCCCACTTAGTGGGAAGGCTTTGTTGTTGTTGTTGTATACAATAATTTTAATTCTCAAGGTGAGTAGTCATATCAAATTCAGAGCAGAAAACCACAAATGTAAAACAAAAACAGAAATTATGCAATAAATCCATCTAAAATTCAGCAAAACGAAGTTCAAGAAACAAACTTTTCATCTTAATATGTTGAAAAGGAAGAGAATTGCACCTCCCGAGAACACAAACAAACAAACTCTGCAGTAAAGAAACCAGCAGCCAAGTTTGAGTCTTTAACTGATGCTATAGAACCCACCAAACAGAAAAACTAACAAATGGAAGGGGGGAGAGAGAGAGAGAGAGAGAGAGCCAAAGTTTGAGTCTTTAACTGATGCTGCAAAACCCACCAAGCAGAAAAGCTCACAAATGGAAGGAGAGAGAGAGGGAGAGGGAGAGAGAGAGGTAGATAGAGAGAGAAAGTTCAAATGAATAGTGAAATGAGGTACATTTTCTTAGTGAGATAAGTAAAAGTATTAATTAACGTATTTATATTTTATTAGTGAGATAAGTAAACTGAGAACTGTATGTATACTAATAGTTCTGTCTATTTTTTCCCCTCTTATGTTTTGCCTACTCATATTCATCAATATGTTATTCTCTCTTCCAAGGTTCATGCATATTTCTTCTTTTTTTTCATCGGTTACTTTTTTTTAGATACATTTTATTCTCTGTTTTAAATTATTGTATTCAAGGTTGACTTTGTTATATTGACTCTGAAATTCGAACACAAGTTTCTAAAATATAATATTCTTTGGAACTTTCCATATTTCTAAGTATGCACTGCATTGATTAAGGTTTTTTAAATTCAAGGCCACGATGTTTGCATGCCCACAATCATGTGAATTGAGGCTGAAGCTGATATAAAGTTTGATAAGAGCAATTCAACCATGTAAATTAGTTTTCTAATCACATTAGTTACATTGTCAAAAGAAAAGAAAAAAGAGCATCTCTTCATCAATCATACTTGACATGCATCTTAGTGTACATACAGTTCTCAGTTTTCTGTCTTCCTTTATTCTTTTAATTTTTGTGTGTGTATGTATTTAACTATGAGAGGTCGCACTTGGTAAGATGGCAAGTGCCTTCGCCCATGAGCGGTAGGTCTCGGGTTCGAGACTTGGGAGCAGCCTCTCCATAAATGGGGGTAAGGCTAGCCGACATTCACCTCTCCCAGACCCTGCTTAAAGCGGGAGCCTTGTGCACTGGGTACGACCTTTATGTATTTAACTATGCATACACACTGATCTTGGATAAAGCAAAGTTCTAGATGTTTTTAATTCTAATAAACTGATTAGAAGAATAAACGTTCAACTTGACTAAGTCTGTTGATATTATCGTATTAGTGGGAATTATATGGTTGGAAATATTGTGTATATTTTTATGCATAGGCTTGATAAAATAAATCCCGCACTTTTTGCTGCGATTAATTTTTCGTTTTTTGATTTGGTGAATTCTTGCATTGTTTTCCAATGAAGAGGATTCGAGCATTAATATTGTCAGTAATGGTGAGACTACTGGTTTTCCAGTCACCCCACATAATGAGCAGCTGAGTTATGCATCTACAAGCAAGAAAAGGCTGGATACTATTAGTGATTTTGCCAAAGAATCAAAACAAAGTGGTAGGTATTTACATTTCCATGTATAGGATTTTGTGGATTTTATGAAATATATTGTTTGTTCTTCTCTCAGCTTTGAGTTTTATATATCAACCTCCTTACTTTTGTTTTTCTTCAACATTCATGTGCATCATTTGACTATTTGGACTTTGGACTAAATTGTTGAAGCTGATTTTGTCATGGATACCATGTGCAGTTTTTATTATGGATACTCACACATTCGAGATGTGTACCAGCTCATTGAACAAGAGGACATCTAGCAGTCCAAAGAAGCTCTCTCGGTGCAGCATACACCTTCCTCAATCAAATTTTGACAAGGATGATCCAGTGAACAATGGAATTGGTGATGATCCAAAGAGTTAAACTGGTTTAATTCTACTGAAAATTGTGTGTTGATGATTGCTTCAGTCAAATTCGATATTTTCGGTAGACTAGAGATGGCTGCTAGAAAATGTATGAATGTTCTCTAAACTAAAATACACTTCTTAGATTGCTGTGGTTACTGGTTTGAATTTTCCTTATTTACCTTGGTGCCTTTTAACTTTTGAGGTGAAATTTGTTACGCGACTTCATAACTTGCAAATTTTGTTGAGTCAACATTCAATGCCCTTCCTTCGAATCAAGTTAAATGTAGGATCGTACTCGGAGAAGTTTGTGAGGGGCCAATGGGACAAGGATTGCAAAAATACAAGGCTTGCCTCTCAGTGCGTTTCAGACTTACCCTCCTAAATTTTCTTCCAAATCACAATTTATATGATTAATTTACTGATTCTATTTTTTGGGATTTGAGTTTTTGTCTCCTGATTATTTTTTGCAGAGATTGTATTAATTTCCCTTTGACTGGACATTTGGGGTTTCTTTAGGTATAATGTTATCAAATTTTATTTTTCCAGTTTTCTGATTTTGGAGTTTTGCAGGGAGTGATATATACTAATTTTTTGGGATTGTTGGTCTTTGCAGGGTTTTCGCTCGCCAGACAATGATAGGTGAATCACCGCAAGCAACAGCAATTATGCTGCAAACTGAATCCAAGATGACTAACCTGGAGTCTTCATGGTGGTCGCACCTCTCCTCATCTTTGCTCCTCCTCTGAAACCCCTCTGTAGGTTTTCGAACTTAAATTGTATTTGCTCTCTCTTTCTGCCCTTTAGAAGGGTTTCGGAAAAATAAATTTTTTTTTTTAGCCTCTCCATAAATGGGGGTAAGGCTAGCCGACATTCACCTCTCCTAGACCCTGCGTAAAGCGGGAGCCTTATGCACTGGGTACGACCTTTTTTTTTATTATAATTTTGGTTTTGATGATAAAATTTGGATTTGCCCATTTGGGGATTTTCCAGTTCAGGACCTAGGAAACAAGAAGCAATGCAGAGGCACTGTTGGAGAGATTGTGGACCTCTGTTAAATCACAGTCTAGTGAAGGGATTAGCCCGTCTAACTTTGTGTTTTAGATGAATCCGTTTTGGATGGGGGAAAATTTAAACCCAGAAAAAGTTGGGTTTCCTGGTGAGTTGTCCGGCAGATTTCAGGTGGCTAATTTCGTGATTACAGTTAATTTTGCCTCATGACATTGTGGTATGCTATCGAATCTAATTGGCGATTTTTTTGTATGGTTTTTGTGTGGATGCAGGTCACCAATGAACAGGTTGATCACATCTTGAGTTTTCCAACTGATTTATTCAATTCTATCGGTTTTGATTTTGTCCCTCCATAACATTTGCAGCACCATTTGCCGTGCTCTCATCATAGCTTGGCTTTCAGTTCCTCAGGTAAAGTTTCCACCTTTTTTTCTTCAGGAAAATAACAAAGATTCCAAATTTATTGAACTATTTAGTGATTTTCTTTTGAGTTTCTTCTTAAAATTTTTCATTAAATTTTTTTGAATTGAAATAGGGGGAATGGTGGATGTGAGAGTCTCTTTTACAGCAATTCAAAGGGAAGAGCTTGAGAGACAGTGGACTCTTCCCCTATTCCTCCACATTCCCTTTTCCCAATTTCCAAGAACGCATTAAATTCCCTCAAAATATAAACCGAGGTATGGAAAAGCTTTGAATTCCTTGGTTTCCTCCAATTAGTATGCAGAACTCTCAAAAAAAAATAAAGAAGTGAGGGTTGAATGTCTACCCTCATATGTACACAGAGAGATGGAAAAAATTAGAATGGTGAAGTGAGGGTTCAATGACTTATTTGGTTCTATTTAAATAAAGTTCGCTGATTAGGTTGATTTGTGTTGTGTACATACACTTCTTGGCTTTATTTCTGTTTGATGGACTTATTTGTTTGTGTATTAGTTGTTGACAGAATGGATAGGGTGCCAGAAAGAAAGTTTTTGATAGAATTAGAGTTTGATCTCTTCATTTGGGTTGTGCATATTTCGTCTACCTGACAATCATCTCCAACTGATTGAACCGAATCAAACTGCCCAATAACACAGTCAATTAACTTTCCAGTGGGAGACAGAAATATCTCTGCGAGTCTTCCCAACCCTCAGAAGAGTAGACTGCTATAACGAAACCACAAACTGATTCCCCTTAAAAAAAATTAAATAAAATTATCTTTCTAGGGCTTGGAGCTGAACTCATCTATGCGAACTCTCTATTTTTAAAATTCGAACGTAAGATCTCTCATCTACAAATGAAGAAAAATATCACTAGACTGTAGTACTAAGGTGCTGTTATAATGCATTACATTCTCTAATGTTCATTTACCATAAATGTATTGTGTTTGCATCGTATGAAATAATCCTAAACTTAAACCCAATTTATTAACCACCAATACCTATAATTTATCATGCAAAATCTTATCGTTTATTGCGCTGTATATTACTATCACATCAACTTCTGACTTAGATGCATTCAATCCATGAAATTCACTTTGAAATTTGAAGATAAATTTGGTACATGAAATAATTTATCAAACAAAGTTCAGTAAAAAGTGCCTACAAATACAACCAAAGGGTAAATAACGTATGAGAACCAATACATGCTAAAATACACCTTGTATACAGTCAAAGGAAAGAATCCACTAGACTATAGTACTAAATGACATGTATTTATTAAAATCCACAAAAATTCACCTGACTCATTCAATTTCTTCCTACCTGCTACCACTATTTATTTTCATTTCCAAATTTTCATGATGCCAAACGATCGTATTAGAAAACCTAATTGGTCAATGATGAAGATAAAAAGGAGTTGTGGTGAAAGTCGTTGACAAGAATGGGTTGGTTGTGTTATTTTTTATTAGGGGTGTGTTCTCACACACCCTTGTTAATTTCTATCTGTTGATCTTCTTCAATTCATCCTATCCGACGGTCGAAAATTAGAAGGGTGTGTGAGAAGTAAAATGAAGTGTGTGGATATCACATCCCTTTTTATTATTTATCGGAATTTAAATTTGGAGGCTAAATGTTCATAAGTTGAGAATTATTACCTCAAAATGAGTTAGGTGTCACGCTCATAAGGCTAAATTAAAGGGCAATATGAAAAACTAAATGAGAAAATTGTAGCAATGGTCTCTTAACTTTAACCTTAATAGGAGAAATGATCCCTCAACTTTAGCCCAATTGAAACAATAGTTCCTCAACTTTAACCCAATTTTAGTAATGTTCTTCAAACATGACTCATTTTGACAGAAGTTCTGACGGAGTTAACGAAAAGAACAATAGTTATACGTTTTGGTGAATTAAGGAACAAATAGTAACATATTTTAATTGAGAGAGCATCGCTCGAATTGAATTAAAGTTGCGGTACCATTATAACTTAAATAAGATAAACCATACCAGTAAAAGCAATTTACATTGTAACAGCATCGTCATCATCCTGTTGATGTTGAGATTTTGTTTGAACTGTTTAATTTGATATGCAGATACCCTCCTTGGCAAAAGTCTCTTTGAATTGCAGATTTGAATGGCACAAAATAATAAGTAGGTGATTAACTAACTTGTAACTAATCGTGCTGATATGACAGTAAGTACCAGAAAGAAAAAACACGATGAACCAACTCCGGAGTTGAGCACAAGTTCACAAACACAACAAACTCGTATTCTAAATCCCATTGCAGCTGAGCAATATATAGAATTATCCGAAGATCGCTTAACCGTAGCAAGAGCACTCTCAGGGAACAATCTCATTCTTTTTTTCTGTCCATTTCTATCTCTTTCTCTTGTATTACTTCTCTAGAACTGCATGCGGAAAATATGGGAAAACATCTCGTGATGTATTGAACCAGAAAAGTTGTGATGCTTCCACATTCTCAAGTGATTTCGACCCTTTTGTACGCACATCTAATTCCCATTCCGTTTGAAGATCGAAAGGAAGCTATACGAAGCAAATGGCAATGGCTTCGTTTCCTCTGAATGAATGAACTTAATTAAAAACTGAATAACAAATGGCAAAGGCTTCCTTAAAAAACTTGTAACAAAGAAAGGAATAACATCCCTAACTAAAAGATTATACCTAAAATTAAAAACTGAATAAGCTTAATTTCAGTAAATGAATCCATAATACTCAATCATCCATATATTATAATTTAGGATACCCAAATACATAATATACCAAATAGTTTTCAAATTCGGAGCAGAAAACAATAATTATTTGAATATTAGAAAGAAATCAAACTAACAAAATGATAACCTTCACCTGAAGAGAAAGGTGAGAAGCCTCGAAAGTAATAACCAAAATGTTGACTCCGAAAAGCTAGAAAACTTTCATGCGAAGAAGGCGGCTTTTCTAAGAGATGTGGAGAAGCTCCAGAGCCATAGGAGAGTTGTTGAAGATTTCCAAGATGCAGAAGCCCTCTGCGAGCTTGCCTCTTCTTCTGAGGAGCATGGTTGGAAAGTGGAAATCTTAATAAATGATGATAACTCTGGCAATTTCAAAAGAGAAGTACACGATGCGGGCAAGAGGATGGGGATAGAGAACCTCTATCCCCACCCTATTGTCCGCATCGTGTACTCCCCTTTTGAAATTGCCAGAGTTCATCATTTATTAAGATTTCCATCTTCCAACCATGCTCCTCAAAAGAGGCAAGCTCGCAGAGGGCTTCTGCATCTTGGAAATCTTCAACAACTCTCCTATGGCTCTGAAGCTCCTCCACGTCTCTTAGAAAAGCCGCCTTCTTCGCATGGAAGTTTTCTAGCTTTTCAGAGTCAACATTTTGGTTATTACTTTCGAGCCATTTTGTGTTTTGATTACATCTAGGAGCACCTTCAGTGAAGAGGGGAAAAACGATCGGTATTGATAGACACCCATGGAATTCAATTTGGTTTTGGAGGGGTGGAGATTGAGTTGGGACCGAACAAACCCTTCTAAACTTGAAAGTCATGCAATTACAATGCCATTTTCTTGTCATGAACTTATCCTTGCAATGCAACTCGAATGATATCTTGCAAAAGACCTTTTTTATTGTTGGGCTAATTAGGGTTAATTAGGCATGCAATTACAAAGTGTCATGAACATATCCTCACAATGCAACTGACATGATAAAATTTCACAAATTTATATATATATTCATAAACTTACATGAAAAATACAATATACATATCCCACTTATATTAGGGAATCACAAAAGGACTTTCTTTTTATACTCTTGGGCTCTTTTGGTGGGCTAGACATGAATGGGCATCAGGTTAGGCTTTGTAAAACAAGACTTGTAACCTGTGCGATATGATAAGTTAGATAGCTCACTCCATTATAGATTCATATCTCATCATGTATAATCTAGTTCATCTCATAGTTTGCCGTAACAAACAACGGAGTGAACTCAAATCCATTTTAATTGGTCACAACATATAGTCCAACTGGCCCACCAAACAGACCCTTGCATTCTTATCTGACCCTGCATGCTCACAAAAAGTGTGGATTCACTCCCTTAATGCAATATTTTGCGTATGGAATATGGAAATGGGTTTCTTTACTTATTTTTTGGGTTGATGATGGGAAGATGTCAAAATGTAGGTTGGTTGGTCTATATGCATTTCTTCAAAACCAAACGTAGGGAAATATGTCAAACATGAAATTATTGACATAACCACTGCCCGTGCTTGACAGTGAAGAACTAGAAATTTTCCCATGGGTTGGTTTTATTTATTTTTTTCCTTGTGTGTTTTTAAGTGAGTTAAAAGAGCGTTTAAGTGTAGAGTTAGCAGTTGACAAGTGTCAAATCCCGACATAGACCACATAAAAGTCACAAAGAGCTTTGGGTGCAAAAGATTTGAATTTGCATTAGCATTAAGATTAGAGGATGAGGATTTTCTCCGGATTTTCTTTGTGAGGATCCTAGGATCCTTATATTTTAGTTGTTCATAGTATATCGTGTGGTCAGCTTTCATTAAATACTATTTGTGTTTAATTTTAAATAAAAAGTAATCGCATAATGTATGATAAACGGTTAGAATGTAAGGATCGTAAGATCTCCACAATTTGAATTTGAATAGAATCCAAATTCGTCTATAATTAGGATTAGGGGTGGTCAATATTAATTGTTTTCTAAGTTAGAAATTCCTTTTATAAAAAGAAATTCATTAATTGTTTTCTTTTTATCTTACACCAAAAGGCATTTGTTTGACCAAACAATGTATTACATAACATCTTAGGAAGGCTGCAAACAAAAATAAAAAATAAAATATTTATCCAAAAAGACTATGAAACGTTCCAAAATATTCCAGTTTTTTATATTTATTTACCAAAATTATGTCTCGCAATCAAGTTTTGTATTTTATTGTTAATTTTGAATGCACTTTGTTTATTGTTTTTATGTTAATCATACACTTATATATTAAAAATGAAAAGCATATTTTACAAAATAAACTGGATTTATATATAAGCATATACGGTATATCAAATATTGAGAAATAACAATAAATCTGTAAATACGAAAAAATTCAAGAATATTAAAAAACTTGTAAAAGAAATGAATTTCTAAATCATGTTTCAAAATTTCTGTGATTACTCGGAATTCGAATATTCTAAAACTTTTGAATTTGAAAATTGTGATTCAATCTAACTTAATTCTACAACAACAACAACAACAACAACAACAAAGCCTTTTCCCACTAAGTGGGGTCGGCTATATGAATCCTAGAACGCCATTGCGCTCGGTTTTGTGTCATGTCCTCCGTTAGATCCAAGTACTCAAGTCTTTTCTTAGGGTCTCTTCCAAAGTTTTCCTAGGTCTTCCTCTACCCCTTCGGCCCTGAACCTCTGTCCCGTAGTCACATTTTCGAATCGGAGCGTCAGTAGGCCTTCTTTGCACATGTCCAAACCACCGGAACCGATTTTCTCTCATATTTCCTTCAATTTTGGCTACTCCTACTTTACCTCGGATATCCTCATTCCCAATCTTATCCTTTCTCGTG